AAACCTCTATAAGAGGAGGCCGAAGGCAAGAGATTAAAGCATTGATAGATAAATCGAATGAGTCTCTTCTCTCTCTCTCTTCTCAGTCTTTCTCTAATTCTCTCTCTAATTGTCTCTCACTATCTATCTTTCTTCGCTCTCTCTCTACTGATGCTTTGATCTCTTGCCTTTGGCCGCTTTATATAGGTTTCATGCATCCTTCTTTGATTAAGGTCTGGCTTTTTTTTGGAAAGGTGGTCCTTCATAAATGGCTTGCCCAACTTTGTCCTTATCTTTTGAGATAGGTGGTTAGTGAGGTGCATGGTTATCCTTTTTCGAGCATGTGGTTTCTGGTAGCTTCCATTCATCAATTGGCATGACAGGTAGTCTTGTTATTTTATAGGTTTAACAAGAGGTTGGTGTGGTGCGTAGCTAACATCAGGTGGCTTTATGCAATCTTTCAATAGGTGTCATGGCAGGTAGTCTGACATCTTCAAAAATAGTTTTTCGGTGCCATGAGATTCTTTGAGTAGTAGATATGTGGCATGGTGCTTAAACATGTGGCAGGGTAGTACCTTCATGGGTTTTATTTTTTAAGCAAGTGTGATAAGTGGTAGCGTCCTTTCAGACAAAAAGCTTGAATAGGTGTTAGGATAGGCTGGTATCAGGTAATCTTTTGATGAAGTCATCTGGTTGAGAAATATCTCGGCTTTTATTCTTTAAGAGTAATTAAGGCTAATAAGCTTTAGTTAGAGCTTTTAAGCATAATTTAGAGCTATGAGCTCATCCTTCCATCATGTTATCTAGATTTGCCAGTCCCACATCATCTAAGATTTCATAAAAATTTGATCTGTCATCTTCGTGAATTTGATTGTATTTCTTATCATTCATTTTCTTTAATAGTCCTTGTTTTGTTTCAAGACTCCCTTTTACTTGGGCTTTTGTCGTATTGAGAATGCATTTCACAACTGTTTAATTTTTCATACCACTCTTGTGGTATTGCTGGCGTCCCCTTAGAGAGGATGGTAATTCTTTCACAATGAAAGATCTCGTAAGTCTCATCATAGGAATGAGCCAATATAACTTCCTAAATATTTTTAAATACTTCTGCTCTTCCTTCAAGGATATCTCTCTTTTCATAAAATAATCCTTTTGAGTTTGGGAAGGGCAATACTCTTCTTTCTCCAAGGTCAATTATAAAAACATGATGGGCAGCAAATAAATTTTCTTGCTAAATATCTTGGATGGCATTACAACAACCAAGTTTTTTGGAAGCAAGACAACATTTTAGGAATTCCTTTTTAATTTTTAGATTCGAGATAAAAGCTTGTAATAAATCTTGCTATCATTAATAATTCTTCTTCTTCATTGTCTTGAAGATGTATTCCATGAAGACCCTTTTTCCAACAAATTATTTTTTGTTTGTAATAAGTGAAAATTTGGAAGTACCTCCAAATTTCTATAAGATATTTAGTTTGAGCTTTTTTGCTAATTTGTTTTGATACCTCATAAGGCAATTCTGGTATTTGTCTTGAGCTTTCCCCCTTTTCTCTATTTTTTAGAGCAGCTTGTATTATCTCTTTCTGCTTTTTCTTGTTAGCTTCTCTTATCTTTTCTTCTAGGGGCCATCCTAGAGAATCTGCAAGATGGTTCAAAGAGTTCTTGTACACAAAATATTCTTGTTAGCATAGCATAGTCTTGGCCTTTTTCGAATTCATCTGTGAGAATGATATCGGCCAAGTCCTCAGTAGTTCTTTTTATTTTTCCAAGCAAATGAGGTATCCTTATACTTGGATAATTTGTTAATGATTTTTTCAGTGTTCTCACAGAGATCACTCTGAGAACGTTTTTGAATACCGATAATTATTTTTTCAATTAGTTCATAATGATTGATCTCTGGCTTAAGAGATTCCTTAGCTAGGATTAATAGGTATTGTATCGTCTGATGTCATGTTAACTCTTGAGAATCCATAGAGTTTTTCCGCATTATAAACAAAACTGTTGTTAGTGCAAGTAGATTAAATTGTAGTAATGAATATTCTAGTTTTTTGAAATAAATAGAACTAATTGTTTCTTGTCTTTTATTTTTTGCTTCAATATACCTCCATATCCCCCTTAGAGGCATTTGTTTCCATGATTTTGAAGGCAGATGGATCTGGGATAGCTAGACAAGGAAGTTCTTTAACCCTTTGTTTAATTTGTTGGACTGCTTTAGTCATCTGGTCAGTCTATTCAGGAGGGTTCTTAATCTTACTGTGATTAATTTTCTATCTTGAGCTAAATTATGATAAGAATCTGAAACATAATTTAACCATCCAAAAAATCTTTGAAGTTGATTTTTGTCTGTTATTTTATCGGGAAATTTATCAGCAAAGCTAATGGCTCTATCTACTGGAAAAGTAGTGCAATTTTGGAGCTTTTCATGTCTCGAATTAATAACAAGAAAAAATGATTTGAATTGCCTGGTTAGGCATAGAAACCTTATCTACAGGGCCTATTTCACGCATCAAGAATCAAACTTAATATTAACTTAAGTCCTCTCCCGGACCCTAAATTTAATGGTTCTTGTAGACTTCTTTCTTGAAGAATATCCCTTCAGGCTCCCAAGACATTGTAAAATCTTTTGAGTCTTCATTATAGAGTTCCGAGCTCTTTCATGAAAAACCACTCCACTTATCTATGAGGTCCTTATATCCTCAGCCTCAGATGCCTTAGGTCCAAGCCACCTGCCTTTTATGCTAAGAACCCTCCTCTATTCTGTCCAAGTTATGCTTGAACCCACTCCATAACCTCTCCATTGGAAATCTCACTGCATTCACCAAGTTGTTTTTACTGCTCCTTAACAATTTGAACATGGAACAAACAATGTACTTGGATGAGATACTTTGGCGAGATATGCACTTCCACTAGAAGATTTGGCTCCCCATATATTAGTTTTTGTGGAAATTACTCCATAACCAAGCTCACATTCTCTTTGGTCCACCTTGGTGCATATGACAACTGAGGTTTATTGGGAAGCATGACAAATCCTCACTGTAGTAGAGTAGCTGGTTCCTCCACTTTGAGACCCTTATACCCAATAACCACCACTTTGTTCTTTCTAAGATTAATTCTTGGGCCACACATAAGCTTGTAGCATGTAAGGATCATTCTTAGGCCTATGATTTGTGGTATTAATTGGAATGAGGTAGTTTGTAACTAGTGTTTGAAATTTGTTCCTTAGGAAGGGTCAAGTTTGAGATGCCTGAAAGTGCAGTTCCTAATTTCCTTATATTCAAGAATCTATGCCACTTTAATTTGTAGCAGCATGGAGAATCCTGATCTAACTATGGTTGTGGTTTTGTACATGATCTGCATCTATGCAAGGTCAGCTGTGCATAGCATCCCTGTAGCAAAAGATGCCATAGTTGCATGTGTTTAGAAAGAAATTTATAAAGTGATGATTTGAAGTTCAGATTCTGAGCCTTGCACCTTCTTGAAGTTGAAGTATATGACATATGCCCAACTTGAACCCATTGAGTAGCATTAAAAATCACTTACAGAAGATTGTACAAATACCTTATCACATTTGGGATTCTCTAAGGTTTAGGGGCATTTGATTCGTCTTGTTTGGGCTTGATTCGCACTTTTGATGGTGTCTACTGTAGCATTTGGCATAGTTGACTTTGAAGAGTACTGGTGGTACCTGGCCGCCTAGGCGCCCGCTCAGAGACAGGGTGCCCTCACCAATAAGACTTAAATGAATAATGGAATATATAAGACCTTAGTTTCACTTTGACATAATACTTAGCCCATTAAGATATCACATAATCAATTATTTATCAAATAAAGTAAAAAAAAAAAATAGAATATCAAAACATGACACATTGTACAAAAAAAGAATCAACTATTCATAAAAGAATATGATATTTGCTCAATTTCATCGTCCAATTGAAAAAAATTCAATTAATCACAAAAAAAATCAATCAAACATGTAAATTTATTGTAAAAGAAAAAAAATAAGGTAAAAAAAAAAAACACATGATCCATAACATAATATGTTATATCAAAATAAAATCAAAACTCTCTTTAAAATATGATAATACTTTAAAAATATCAAAATCAAATCGATGTCGGTGCAAATCTTGTCTATTGGGTCACCAAAAGTTCTCAAAATCAACTACTAAAAGCTCCAAATCTACCCATGAACTATTGCCTTTGTTTTGGGAAGAAATTGAAAAAAAAAAAAATTTATCGATTTTTCGATAAATCACAAAAGAGTGGTGGTGTGGGAGGGGGGATGGGGCTCTCACCCAAAGGGCCATAGTTTTTGTTTTTAGGGGGGGGGGGGGTTAGAATAGCCCCCAAAACCAATAACATTTTTTACCCCCCCTCGAGGGTTTCTTTCTGCCCGTCCGCAAAGTGTCACGGGCGGCGCCTAGGTGGGTGCCCAAACAATAGCGCCTTGGCAGCGCCCAAAGACAGGGCTCAGAATGACCCTACCCAGACAGTGCCTAGGCATTTTTTGAACTTTTTCGACTAGGCAGCCGGGCGGCTGCATTTTCGAACATTGCACTTGGAGTAGTTGGCTTTGAAGAGTACTGGTCCAAGTGGCTGGAGTCCTGGGTTGCACTTATTCATACTTCTTCTTGTAAGTAATTTCATATTTATCCATCTTCGTTCTATTGTTTAGCTCAATCCAGTTGTATGGCACTGCCGCTTCTACATCCTCATTTTGTTTTTTTATTAGTAATAGGATTCTATCTTCAAATTAATTTCTTTACTTAGTTAATATGAAATGTTGTTGCAAATCAATGTTACCCTTGTTCAAGTGCATTAATTCATTCATAGTTAATATGAAATGTTGTTGCAAATCAATTTTACCCTTATTCAAGTGCATTAATTCTGGTCATTTTGTGGCTGTGTTATTTTTTTCATATTTTTAGTTTTATTTTTTTCCTTATTTTAGAGCAGATTCTGTTGGCTATGGTAACCTTTAGAGGAACCTTATAAAGATGATGTGATATCTGTAATGTTCGCAGGAGCTATACCATGAGTTGCATGCTCTGGACAGATTTGAGCAAGATTACCGGCGGAAGCTTCAAGAAGAGGAGAACTCAAATTCAGCACAAAGAGGTGAGTTGTTCTTAAAGTAACATTTCTCACTGTATGGGTCTGTGTTCCAGGAATGATTTACTGTTTTTTTAAGAATTGGAGCTTTTCTTTTGCATGGTAATGATGGTTTTGATATATGGGGGAATTTCGCTGTCGAAACTTTATTCCTTTTATCAGAAAGTGAATTGTAGTATCTGAAGACTGAAGGCGAAAGGGTTGTTCAGGCTATAGGATATGGATCTTAGCAATGAGTTTCAGGTTAATACAAACAGTGTTTAAAAGCTTGGCTGGTCCAAGTATTTATTTTACCTTTTATCTTTTTTGTAAGACGTAGCCTAGTCCATGGTTACCAGAATCTCTCACCCAAGGCCACGATTCTGATCCGGAATCCTGATTCCTTGATTCTGACAAGGAATCTTCACTGAATCCATTTATGTGAAGCCATGATTATCAATTCCTTATTTTAGGAATCTCGATTCCAACACTTATAGAATATCGTTTGTGATATTTATTGATTCTCTATTCTACAATTATTGAATCTCGATTCTACATTTGTTGAATCTGGATTCCACATATAATGATACTCTCTCCATCAAATTAGAAACTTAAACAATAGGGCCATGAACTACATAAACAATTTAGAACCTATGAGAAGCATCAAATTAGAAACTCGATTTCAAAGATATTGGAATCTTGATTCCATATATGAAGGACTCTCGATTCCATTTGGGTCGATCCACATAGGCCAGAAACCCGTTCCTAAGATGATAGAATCTCGATTCCATATTTGTAGTGATCTCAATTCCATTTGGGTCCTATCTTGATTCCTGTGAAGTAGGAATCTCATTTTTTGTAATCCCCCTTGTACGAATGTCGATTCCATAAACATGAATTTTCTAGCCAGTCGCAATTCCACGATTCCAAAATCTAAAAAGATTTGGAATCTCAAGCTTTTCATACTATTATGGTCTAGTGTTTCCAGGTCAACTTGTCTCGGGACCAATTCGGGTCCGGAGTCTATGATTTGAAGGATTTATATAAAATGCCAGAAATGGGTGGTACTAGATTAATAGCCTCTATCTAATTTTGGACTAGGGAAGCAGATAAGATTTTCTGTTTAGGTTTGTCATGAAGTGTTATTTGTTTTTTCCTTCTGTATTATATTCATTTATCATTGTATAATATTTCTTTTTTATTTGTGTTTAGCCTCATACTGTCAAAAAATTGAGCATGATTTCTTACCACTATTCACAGGGGACAGCCTTGCGATCTTGAGGGCAGAGCTCAAAAGCCAAAAAAAGCATGTAAGGAGTTTGAAGAAAAAATCCCTCTGGTCTAGAATTTTGGAAGAGGTACCTATCTACTCCTTGCTTTTGGTTTACTACCGCATTTCCTTTTCTTATGTGCTTTAGATTGATTGTTAGTATACTTCACCTGAGTACTCAGTATGCCATCTTTTTATTTTGAATATTTTTCGGCTTCTTTCTACTTGGTTTCTGACAAGTTTAAGAGCTCCCTTGTGTGTGTTCCCTAAGAACTTGTCTCTCGAATTTACTTTCACATACTGGCAAAGTCCATATTGCTCTCTTGAGCCCTGAGGAAGTGGACATCTTGGAAACTAAGTTCTCTGTGAAATCAATTACAGGTCATGGAGAAGCTTGTAGACATTGTGCACTTCTTACATCTAGAGATTCATGATGCCTTTGGGGCTGCTGGTATGTATCTAAATGCTTCTATATATTAAGTTTTTTATATTACCTTTATAGCCTTTTTTAGCTTGAGTTGACTTTGAAGTTTCTGGAAGAGCTGTATGCATGCATATCGGTACACTTTCCTTTGATCATTCATCTTTCTTTTAGTTTTAGTATTAAGTATTAACTTCTGCAGTTAGTTTTGGCCTGGAAGCCGAAGATGGACAAATGAACATTCTAAGAAACAAAATAAATTTTGTAATATTTTCTCTAAGATGCTTGCAGTTAATTTGCTTGATGGGGGTATGTTATTATTATCAAGAAGAGAAAATGACATCATCCCTATGTTACTTGGACGCATGGTCGAAGATTCTAGGAATATGTGAGGCCAAGGACATGACACGCATGTCCTACTATTTAGAAATTCAGACACTCTTCCTTTCTCTTTTGTTAAAGTTTTACCATGGAACTCCTTAATATCACACCCCCTATAAATAATGTATGGACTTATATGACTAAAAAGAAAATTTTCAGGTTGACATTTCTGACACATGTATCTGTTTCAGACACCGTGTCTGGTATCTGCTTCCTTGTAACAGATACTGAGACTTGTATCTGCATCCTTGTAACATGACTTTGTACTGTTACAGTTCATTGTTTGCCTAGTTATAACTTCTGTCGCATTATTATCATCATCTATAGCTTGGCTAAAGGAGCCTTGCAACCAAGAAAGTACTAAATATTGAAATTTTATCCTGTTATGCTAACAGCAAACATTCAGAGTGGGTATCTACAGTATCTTTGCCCTGGGTTTCAAAGTGGGGTGAATATCAGGATTTGCTTATGAAATTTTAGGATGTATGTGGTTTGGCTTTGGTTGAATTGGTTTTTGTTTAAACTTTAAAGAAATTCTTAAACGAAGATTTTAAAGTATAGTTAGTACACTGGGCTCAAGGTTAGTGTCTTAATGGTTTGATGGTTGTATCTAAGGTATCTCTCCCTAGGATTGGATTTTTTAGATGCACTGAATATTGGGATTTACTTATGAGATTGTAAAATTTATTTGGTTTGTCTTTGACCTATTTGAATTGTCTTTTAAAGTTCTTCAAAAAAGTGTTAAAAGTATACTTAGTACTCTGTACTAGTGGTTGCTCTAGGTACTGTGATCAACTATGGGTTGTTGCCAGAGCTTTGGTTTAAAAACCCTAAAACAAAAATGCTATTCAAGTCAGCATCCTCACTTTCTTGAGATTACTTCGTCGTAAATAAAAAAATTTGAGGGCCTGTCGTTTCAGAAAAATTGAAGCACACATTTACGTGTAAGAAAATATGTTTTGATGGTGATGGATGGAATTTACCTAAGACATGAACAAATGCATTTGAGAACCTTTGGCAAATGTTGACATGTAAGAGTTTGAAACCCCTGCAAGCCAAGATAAAAGTCTATATTTTATGTTTAGTTTTTGGAAGTTACTGTTCCTGCTATTTGAGGTTGTGGACCTCTTTTCATTCTCAGGGGAGAAAATGTGTACTTTTTTTTCACACAAATGTAATATTATATGTTCCATGTAACTAAACTTGTTTGATGCTCAAATCTGTAAAAAGCTGAACAAGTCTACTGATTCTGAAACAGTTGACATTCTCGTGAAGAAATGCTATTAAGATTAATTTCTCATTGTAGATTCTAGCTCACATTGCATGGTTTATGTTTAGGGTTAATATTTTTCCTATTCCTATTTTGGCATATCATCATGCCATGCTTACCTCTTTATGGCTTTTTTGCCGCCCCCCCCCCCCCCGACCCCCTCCCCCTCCCTTTTTCTCCTTTTTAGTTTTGGTGGGTCAGAAGTTATGTCGAGCATTGAATTTGCTTGGTTTACTTTGTTATTCGTTTTTCTCTTCTCCAATCGTATTTCTAACTCTTACTCACCTGTCCTTCAGTTCTCATGTTTGACTTGCACTTGAGCCTTTTGTTGCAGTTCTTCTATCATAGTTGCATGACATTGGTTACATTTCTTTTAAGTTGGGATCATTTTAGCCGGAATTAGTTTTCTTTTAGAAGGAATTGTCGCTTTATTTACTTCATGTATTCTTATATGGTTCAAATGCATTTTGATCTTTGCTGGTGATATTTTTGGATTAATTCCTAGTGATGTCTTTCTTCTCTTGCCTAAGTTGCTGAAGATGAGAAATTGGTGAAGAAGGGATCTCTTGGAAACAATCAAAGATTGGGTTCAGCAGGCCTTGCGTTGCACTATGCAAATATCATCACGCAAATCGATAGTCTTGTGAGTCATTTTTTCTTTCATATGTTCCGTTCTCTGTACTCTAATTTAGGTTCCTCTTGCTTAACAGGTGGAGGGAAGAATTTGGAATGCTTGCATTCTTCTAAATATACAAAAGAATAATGATGCATAACTAAGGGAAAAGTCGAGAGTTCTTGGAACCCAAATTTAGTTTTTTAGCACTGTGATGTGGTGCATATTGGATTTGCAGATCTACTTCTGAACCCATGAACTAATGGAAAAAGTATAAATCAAAACATGATTGTCTGTTTTATGCATTGCATGTGGCTGCGTTGAGTGGGCTGGGATCATACTTTTTTCTGCACGCAACAGTTAACCTTGTGTTGTGATGAGTTTAAACGTTATCAGCCGTGTCATTATGCTCTGCTTATCAGTCCCTGCAGCTGAATTCTGCTTCACTTTGCCCAAGTTATGGTGGGAAAGTGGCATTTCCCTTTTGAGGGAATTTCATTGAGTTTTGGCTGGCCTTCCTGGGTTTGTTTCAATGCTATTTGTGGGCTTCATTATGCATATTCAAGCGTAGATGCATGTAGGCACTTGTGCTCTGTGTATATGGCAAATTTGATTTCACAGTGGTCTTACATATGTTGAATGCACATATGACATGTGCACTAAGATGAGAGAGGTAAAGCTCATATATGCATTACCGATCTTAATCCAATAAGTTCCATAATCTGGGACCTGTAATCCTCAAGACCAACCTTGCAGGTTTTGATAAAATTAGGGGGTTTTGGCATTTAATTACAAAAATAACAATAGTCTTAGATTTGTATGTGATCTCTGGGTTGCACAATGGCAATTTCCTAAAAGTATATTTTGAGAATATGACAACCATGTACAAAGTTACACTCATTAATTCCTAAAAGTATATATAACAAGTGGCATCCAAACTTCTTTAATTAAGAAACCAGTGTACCCTATGATCTGGACTATTTGTCATCGCCCTCAAGTGGTTGTCCACTATTCTTTAGTATGTGTAATCAAACCGAGTGTCCTAGGCCATGTTCAGTAGCAATAGCAGACACTGCAGGCACCCAATCCAATATATGTTGGGGAGAATAACGTTCATGCTTTCTCCTGCATGTTAAAGGACACACTGACTGCTCTGTCTGTGTGAGTTATTCAGGCCGTGGTTGAATCTCTGAGATTAATGGTAAGGGTTTCACCCATATATATTCTCTTGCTTGAAAATGGGCACAGCTAGATTAGCCATGGGATGCTGACAAACATTACCTTGCATCCTTTGCATACCAAGGTATTGTACTTGTTTCTATATTACAGTAAACAATCCCTATTACCCATATCATGTACTGTTGTTCAGAATGGCAGCAGCTATGTACTTGGAAAATTATGCAAATAATACACAGGCGAGATGACATCCAAATCCCTTACTGACTTAGTGAAAAAGGGTGATTTATAAATAACAGCAGAACATGATGAAACCCAAATAAAGGTGTCATTTACATCATTACTAGTAGGTCCAAAACTAGTATGAATGAAAGAAGTAGCTATGTGAAATTTAAGGGAATAAAATAGAAAAGTTTTAGCCTTCATTAATATAAGATTATTGAATTCCTCTTACAAGTGCAACTAAAACAATGTTGTAAGTTAAAACAAACCTAAATACAACCCAGGATCTTACTTTTATTGCCAAATAAATATAAGTCAATCCAAAAGCTGAAACGTTAGTAGTTTTGAAAAGGGGTTAGTATTGGTAGGAATGGAGACCGAGACCGGTAGCTGAGTTACAGGTGCCACCTTGACCTCAAGCCCATTCCTAATCCGGCCTCAAGCTCATTCCCATTCCTAATACAAATAATGTTCCAGAAAATTGCAATAAACCAGGCAATATTGATTGAAAAATAAACAAAAATGGCCGGGAAAACTGATTGGGCTTTGCCTAGGGTCATACCCTTAGGACTTGATACGGCCCTTACTCGATTACCTAACCCATGGTACACTCCTTTATCCTATTGGCCCTGCTGAATTCTCCTAGCTGGGAAGCACATAGGCAATACTCTTTTTAGAACTGGGGCATAGAGAGCATGAGCTAATAGCTAGGATTTCCTTGAGCACTTAGAGGGTTCTTTTAGGGCATGCCATACGGCACCACCCTCTTATACCTTATAGGACAGGGCGTGCCTCCCTCTATGATCCCTGAGTGGTGCATGCCACCCCCTTAGGGCTTCTAGGGTGGTGTGTGCCACTCGAGAGAGAGAGAGAGAGAGAGAGAGAGAGAGAGAGAGAGATTAGAATGAGGAGAGCCACTCTATCTATAGCGTTCAATGGGTCTAGGCTAATGCCTATCTGAATTAGAATTCCACTTGGCCATAGGACTCCTAGGTAATCTATGAGGTGAGATAGAAACATATCTTAGCCGTCCATTCCTTCGATTAGCCATAATGATGGAGGAGGAATCTTAAGAACCTTATCCCTTGAATATTTAACCTATATCTACTTATATGTAGATTATAAAGTCCCATAAAATTTGGACTCTTACTCTCATAGAAATAACTTCTAATATCTTTGCAAATTAAAAGTTAAAAAAAAATATGTTATTCACAACTAATTTGGTTAAAACATAACTAACCAAACTAAAGGATATCTTTTTAAAAGATTATTAACATAACTTAATCCTTAACAATTAAAGGAAAGACACAAGTTCAAAAAAAAAAACAACAATTAAAGGAAAGACTAGGACATGTGGGCTCCACATCCCACACCCATGTGGGACTCTTAATGTGTGGGATTGGGCCCTTGTCCCCCCACATGGATCCCACAATGCCCCTGGAACTTTTGGAAATCGCAACACTACCTTTTTTATAGTTTTACGCAATAAACTAATTTTAAAAAATTCTGAAAAATATTTTAAAAATCACATAAACATCATTATCATCATCAGAGCCTTTTCTCAACTAGTTGGGGTTGGTTATACGAATCTTGGTCTGCCATTCAGCTCTATCAAGGGCCATATTCTCAGTGAGGCCATAAGTCCCCATATCTTTTCTTACTACTTCCAACCATGTTCTTTGAGCCTACCCTTGCCCTTTCTGAGCCTTCTACTTGAACTAACTCTCACCTCCTAACTGGTGTTGTACTTGGGTCTGTGCTACACATGTTCAATCCACCTAAGTCTTAAACAAAGCTAAAAACAATGTTTCTGAAGATCTTAAGAACTCTAAAACACTAAAAAATACCTCTAGAAAGTGGATTGGTACTAATGGGTCAAGAAAAATAATGGTCGTCAGCGCACTCCACCCGACTCAGTGACCATGATCATCGATTATCTTCTCAAACCAACCCCACAAGACCAAATGACCCACAGTCTCATGCAAGGACTCATGATTGGCTGTCAAAGCTGGCCCATAAATTGTGGCACCACGGTCCCAGAATGTAGATTTCAGGTTTTCCCCTCAAGAGCAAGTCACATGCACATATCACTAATGATTCTCTATGCACATGTACATGTATTCCTTTGCAGGGTTGTTTCTCGGAATTGCCGTTGATATATAAATGCCATGTGGAAGTTTGTTGAGGATTTTGGTTATTGCTCTCACAGGCCTACAATTACACAAAATGAGATTCCGAAGTTCTCCTGGCCTACAAACTATCTCTGGGCATCTCTCTGACCACAACAAGGGATGACCCTCCTAAAAACCCTCAATGGTTGTGCCTATGCCTAGGGAAAGGTTGGACATGACCTGGGCTGCCTAACCCTGGGTCATTCAATTGACACATGCACTCCCATGGAAGTTCACATTCCATTATAATTATTATATTTTCATTCTCACGGTTTATAGGCTACGAAACCCCAACAATGAGGAGTACATATTCCTTATCTGGATATAATGTCCTCTCGTAGTGTTTTCCATAATTTCCACTTCCTAGACCTAGTCCGCTCTCTCTAAACTTTTCATTAATGGACACAATATTAAAGCATTTATTAAGAGAGAATTCAGTAACCTCTAGTGTTCCAAAAAATACCGGGCGGCGCTTAGGCAATGTCTGGGCATCCCAATAGAATAAAAAGTTGTTTTAAAGCCAGATTTTGTGTAAAAAAATTTAAAATACATATTGAGACATATTGTAGTCCATAATTCCATGCATTTCAAATTCAAAAATCAAACTTTGAAGTTTAAAATTCAAACTCGGCATTAGAGGATTAGACCATATCCATAGTCCATACCATAATCCAAACTCCATGCACTCCATATTCCATACACAGTAAAAACTTAAAATAGGAAAATATAATCCAACATAGCAACTTAGCAAGACATTGATTCATTATCAAGAAAATGAAAGAAAATAAGAAATAACACATAAGAGTTACGGGGCACATCAAATGTCTATGGTCCACAAGTCCACATACACTCCTCCATACTCCATAAGTCCATATCCATAGTCCACACATAGTTAAAACTTAAAAGTTTACAAACCACAGTACACAACCAAGAGGAGGAAAAGAAAAATGAAAGAAATATAGACTTGAAGACTAAAAGAGTCTTCAAAACTAAATCTAATATCAATGAGTGATGTTTAGATCAATTTCTTGTAACTTTGAGAAACCCTTCGATCCTATAGAAATTACAAAAATCTAGTGTTTTGAGGTTTTTATCTCTCTGAAATGGCCTTTAATGGGGTTTAGGTTTAAATTGAACCTAAACCCCACCTTTTTTCCATCTTATTTGTTTTAAGCAACCCAAAAATGCTCCTCAACGAGGGCATTTTATCTCCTGGGCAGGTCGCTGGCCCTAGGCTGGGTGCCCGCCCTGGGGTAGGCTGCCTATTTTTACTGCCTAGGCCTAGGCGAGGTGTCCATGACCCTTGGACCGCCTAGATGCTAAGCGGTCTGCCTTGTGGAACACTAGTAACCTATATTGAAAGGGAAGTCAACTGTATCCATGGATTAACCATTATTAGTCTATTTTTTGTTTTAAGGGGTTAGCAAACTTCCGAGGGATGGACATGATGTTGAAGTATCTGGGGATAAATTTTGTAACATCCCATAAAAAGCAATGGATTAGGTCTTTTAGGGTTTTCGTGCCTTCATCCCATGTTTTGCGTCGCATGCAACATTCTTGTCAATGTGACTGTAAGTAGCAGTTCTCGTTGAAGTTCAACCAATTCTCATATGGAGTTCCCACTTTCCGTTATTGGATCTTTGAAAAAGTGATGAATCTCCTTTGTCTTTTCATGAAAGTGTACTTCTCTTCAACAAGAATGTGCTTGACACTGGGGAAAGGTGTCCGTAATCATTGAATGCTATTTTTAATGTATATGGCTTTTAGCTAAAGCTTTAAAATTGTTTTGCTTTATCCAACTAATAGGGAATCTAAAATGGCTTTGATAGTAGGCGTTTCGTATCTCATAGCTGACCATTATAAATCTGCTACTAGCTTAAGATAATGTACATTTCAATCCCTTAAATTAGTGGCCAATGGCCACTCATAGAACTTTTAGGGATTCATCACATATTGGATTAAGCTGGTCCTCATAATGCATGTCATCAAAGTAACGTTGATAGTCCTTTGAATTTGTTCAGAATTTCCATGATCACATTGTTTATAGCAACATCCGGGAAGATCTCAAATAAAATGCTCTCTAAATCAGATAATTTTTGTAAATCAATGGAGAATCGTGGAGGCGGGTTGAATTGCAACCTAGAGACGAATTAACCACGATGGATCAAGTCCTCTTCAGTTTGTCGGCAGCTCCGGCATATCTTTTGAGTCAAACAACTATTTCTAAAGTAATCAGAAAAAAATAAATTGAAAAAGAAAAGAAAAAGAAAAGTTTACTGAAGCCAGGACTGTTGTTCTAGGACACTTGAAACCTAGAGTTGGGGGCTCGTATCAGACCTCTGGTTGATTTATTCCTTCTCCTTTTCTTTGAAGAATTTGCTGAATTTGGTAGTTGAAATTGGTTTTTAAAGTGGTATATAAAAAGTAAGGTTTTCTTGGGTTTTGGTTGCTAGACCTAGGGTTAGGGTTCTTTATGAACCTAGGGTTTTAAAGGTTTGAAGGCTATGGAGGATTAAGGATTCTAAAGCTGTAGGTGAGGGTTTTCCTGAGCTAGGATTTTCTCTCTCCAAGGTTTTCTTATCTCTATAGGGTTTATTGTCTTTGAAAGTTATGGATCTAAGGCTTTTGATTCTCTAAGGCATCCTAAGATGCTAGATGATGGATTGAACCACAAAATAGGGCTTTATATTTCACACATTTTTGCACGTTTTCCTATATCAGAACTATACAATCAATTAGGATTAAATCTGACCCCTTCGACTTTTGTGTCACAGTATGCATCGTCAACTCTTCCAGAAGCTGCGATGCACTCCATGTTGTTAGGCCCTTTTTCGTCTCTATCTTTGGGATGCAACTTCTTGGATTGGTCTGTTTTGGATTGCATTTAATCCCTATTAGAGTTCAGAACAGTCCCAAATTGACCTAAATTCTAGCTTTTGTGTACCTAATTGGATTCTCGGTATTCTAAGGGTTTTTGGGATTCCTATTGGATATCTGCTAGGGCTTTCTAGAAGATTGGACTATGGTTTAAGGCATGTGTACTATAGATGATGGTATACTAAGGTCTATTAGGCCATTATAGTCTTATTAGGTCACTTTAAGGCATATTTTCCTAAGGTTTTTGGGGATTAAGGTTTAGAATTTTTGGAAATTAGCCAGTTTCAAATTGGGTGTCGACACACACCTCTTAGGACTCCTTTCATAAGCACTGCTTTAATACATCAGGTCATAACCGCCCTGGTACTCGTTTAATTTACAATAGCTTAACTTTTCTGTTTTCCTCATTAGTTTTATTTTATCGTAATTATTGTGATGTATGTACATGATGCAGTAATATGTTTCAATTCAATCTGAAATAGGATTACACCAAACAATTGCTAGCAATTGAATATAGTGACAAGGATTGTACTTAATAAACATCTTATGTTTCAGGTATCCCGACCAAGTGCTGTTCCTCCCAATACACGAGACACATTGTACCAGGGGCTGCCGCCTAGTGTGAAGTTGGCTTTGCGTTCCAAGGTGCAATCATTTTATCTCAAGGAAGAGGTACTGTCCTATCTTCATCTGTTGGCTTATGTGAGTCGAGGATTACTTTTGTAGGTCTTTTGTTCTAGAGTTTAGAATTATCCTACAAGTGCTATGTCCATTGCTTGGTAATTTGGCATATTGGTTCCTGAATCCAGTATGGGAACATCAATATGATGTGTATTGTTTTTTTGTTGTACAAAGTTGCTCCATTTTATGGTTTTTGGTTTGAAAAAATTTCAGGTGTACATCCTGCCTATTTATGTCTACATATCTATTATTTCACTTAGTGTCTAGAAAGGTTTTAAAATTGTGAAATTTCAATTAAGTAAAACATCTGAAGACTTATAATTTTATCGAAGATCTTTGTTTCTTGGAAATCTATCTTTTGCTCTCAATCTAGGTTGATATAACCTCCCTTCCTCCGTCCTTCCCTCCCTACCTCTCTCTCTCTCTCTCTTCCCCCTTTTTTCTTTTGATCAGTGGGTTGATCTGGCCATTCGCTGTTGGTTTTAATAAATTGGTTAGACTTAGTAGCAGGAAATAGCAAATGTATCCTTTGAATAATACATGGAGATTCAAAAGTGGTTATATCAAGCTATTCTTTTGATTGAAATTAGTGCACATGAACTAAATTATTCATTGCCAATAATAAGTACTTGAACAATAAGTTCTTACTATTGACATGCATCCTTGCAGCTTACTGTTCCTCAAATCAAAGCTGAGATGGAAAAAACGTTGCAGTGGCTGGTCCCAATTGCAACCAACACAACCAAGTAATGAAACGCACAAATTTTCTTAATGCTCAGACAATATCATTTTACTAATTGAGTTGACAAATAAGTTTGTTGTGCATTCACCACACGCATTCATTTTGTTTGTTTATTGCTGATGGCCTTTGGTGGCTTTTCTTTATTGAATCCAGAGCTCATCATGGATTTGGATGGGTTGGGGAGTGGGCGAGTACTGGGTAAGTAGAAAACCATGCTCCTCTCTCTACAAAATAATATTCCTCATACTTAAATCTTAATCACTAAATTCCTTGGTTGGTTTAGGTCTGACGTGAACCGAAAGCCAGCTGGGCAATCGGACATAATCCGCATCCAAACCCTCCACCATGCTGATAAAGAGAAAACTGAGGCTTATATACTTGATTTGGTGGTGTGGCTTCACCATTTGGTCAGTCAAGCTAGGTCAGGAGGCATCAAGTCCCCCATCAAATCTCCTATACGTTCTCCAACTCAGAAAATGCTCACGGTCTCCCCTCCCAAGTCATCCCCATCCTCTGCTGCACTCTCCCAAGAAGATAGGGAGATGATGAGGAATGTGAATTTCCGAAAGCTCACACCTGGTATCAGCAAAAGCCAGGAATTTGAGACCACGGTTCGCTCTTCTAAACATTGTAGATTGAGCAAGAGTAGCAGCCATTCTCCAACCAGTGCCAGTAGAAAGGAGTTCCCCATTCTCAGGAGGCCGTCTACTCTTCCTGTTATAGATTTCGACATTGACAGGATAAAGGCCTTGGATGTGATTGATAGAGTCGATGACCTAAGAAACACTTTATAGGATATAAATGGTTTGGTGGAATTTATATGTACGAATGAATGAAAAGCTGCTCTGTGATGCTTGGTGTTTGAAGGGGGTTGACTGGGAAAGTGGCATCATACCTTTCTTCTCGGTTGTTGTAGGGTGATGATGGGGCAAACCAGAGAGGAGCACACCAGCTCAAGGTGAGCATCACATGTAAGATAGAGAAAAGAATAATGGTATCGGGATTTTTGTAAGTATGATAGAGGTAAACCTGGTTTGATTGTATATTATATTTATGGCAGTTCTTTGATTTTAGTGGCTGAGGAAGATGGGGTGGTCCAAAGAGTGCATCACTTTGTTTATTGAATTAATGTGTCGTTTTTGGCAGCTTCATCCTTACCATCCATTTTTCTGATTTTTGTCTTCTTCGAGGTTGTTTTACCAGTGAACATGTGGCTGATAATCATAGAGAAAGCTTTAGCCCTGTACAGAATAATTATCAATCCAAGTGGTAGAGGTGTGCTTTAGGTTGCTGGCAAAGAGTGGACTGTGTTTGTAAACGATTCTCCATCCTTATGGATTGCCTCCAGATTTTCAGTTTGAAGTCCAGTCTAATAACATCCCCCAATCCATTATACACTACCATTTTGTTGAAGAGTGCATGTTTTTTCCACAAATTTACGTCATTCGAAGGGACGTCAGTCCCACGCTTCCCCAAGAAACTGTGCCCTCTGCATAACCTGTAACCTGCTTGGTTGGGAAATGTATTATTGAATATTTGCCACTGATGTTTCACTCTAAATTTATAGTGGAGGTTATAGGTGGCAAGTTTGCTTTTCTAAATTCCTTCTATTTTTTTAATGGTTTCACTATTTGATGCAGAATTATTGAAGATATCACTTCAATTATTGGATAAGAACGGTTTAATTTGTAGAGGTTTCCTATTGTAGGATAAGAGTGGCAATATCCATGGCTCATGCAGGTGCAAGAATAGGTTCGTGAGTCATGGTTTTAAGGCAAGCATAATTAAGAGGGAAACCTCTATTATGGCCCTTTTGCACAGTATATATCGTCACACAACTGGAAATTCAATAGACTTCTCAATGAGCTTTGGAATATCCATCTTCTAAGAGTTTTCAAGCTTACAAGCTTGTAAGCTTTTAAAAGGAGACTATTAAGAACGAGCATTGCAAGAAATATACGATAAAGATATAGTATCCAAGTATTATCTGTAAAAATGATGTATGTTGATGTAGGCCAGAGACAGCGAAACTAATCTAATATTAATAGAGAAAAAAAGGAAATTAATCTAAAAATACAATAAACAAATAAGAAAATGAAAAGTATCATGAGGTAATTTATCTTTAGTATATGGTTGTCACAATTAATCTTAACCATTGGATGTGAAATTAGATGGTTGCATTTACAAGTCAAATTTTAAATTATTTTTTTTCAATTGTATACAATCCCATAAAAAAAACCTTCAGCGCATAATGCTCTAAAATCTCCTATATCTGCGGATTGACCAAGTGCAAATGATTTGCATTTTAAAATGGAAGCTCGAATATTAAATTGCAAAGATTCAGAGAGTTGAGATTGCAATCCAAGAAAACTAAAGTGTTAAATTACAGTAAGTTTAAAATGTGTACTGGACTACACACTACACACTCTCTTGAACTTCAAAGCAAAGAGGAATTACGATGTCTAGAACGCAAGCAAAAGATGTTTTCTTGGGGCTTGGTTAGATGACAATTAGTTTTATCTGGAGTAGACTATCTTATCTAAGCTAATATGTTCTGGATAATATTATTTTTGTTGATGATTTGGTATGCAATTTTTCTTACGTTTAATATTATTTAGTTATTTAAATTGTTGGTCATTTTCAAGTATTTTTTTTAGGGACTTTTTGGGAAAGCTTTCTATGTCCTCTTGCAACATAGAAGTTCTATCCTCCCCTACCATCCAACTGTCAATTTTTTATCAAGAAAGCCACTCACCGTTGATCTTAGAAGTTCTATCCTCCCCCTACCATCCAGCCGTCCATTTTTTATCAAAAGAGCCACTCACCGTTTGATCTTAAATCTGATGTTTCAAAGTATTTTATTTTTAGTTTTTTTAATACAAATTTTCTGAATATAAAATTTGGTACGTGCCATATTCTCATTGGGGCGCACCTATAAAAATTACTAACAATAATTTTTTTATAAAATATAATGACCAAAATACCCCTTGAAACTTTCAGGGGTATTTTGGTCATTTTATTTTATTGAAAATATTTTTTTTTATATATTTTTCGTTAGTGCGAGTTTAATAAAGGAATGGGTGTCCAAAATTTGGTGTCAAAACAGTTTATAGGAAAAACATTAAAAATAAAATAGTGTAGACACGTGACATTGTGATTGGGGTAATCTTAGCCCTCCATTAAAAAATGGACGGTTGGGTAAGGAGGAGGATAAAACTTATATGTTGTAGGGGAAACATAGAAAGCTTTTCCTCTTTTTATATCTATTTCTAGCTAAACTTATGCAACTTTCAGCAAATAAATTTGAATAAAGTAAAAGAACCTTTTAAAAAGATAAACTCATATGTTAAATTGTCTATAAGTTTACCACAAATAACTTCATGATGGACATTGCTAAACAATAGATAATTCATTATCATGATTAATTTTATTGAAACAAAAAATGAATACATCCAAAATCCAAACAAGCCCTTGGTGCAATTCAGTGAAGGATTTTTGTTCATTTAAATTTTTTTTTATGACTTTATTATCATTAGATGAATAATATTAATAAAGGAAACAAATGATTTTGATTTACTGTTTTAGATCTTAAAATCCACCAAATGACTTGAAGGGGACTCATTTTGACCATATCTAAGGCGAAAATTGAATTTTATTATTTTTAGGATGGATTATTAGGATGAAGTGAGGGTGTTTGCAATTCTTTAGGTCATACAAATACCACAAACATAGTTTTCTAGAATTGCAGTTATATTAAATTAC